ATTAAAAGTAAATCTGCAACATCCTTGCTCTATAGTGTTAATTGTGTTCAACAGTGTTTCTGTCCACTGATTCCTCATTTCTTTGTGCATGATGGATTTCTACTATGTTCTGATATCTGAACTTTGTCCTTTACTCTGGCTTCCCTCTGCAAAGTATTGCTACATCTGCCTTATTGACCTTGTTTTTGCTTTCTGGTTCTGTTTGAGGAGATGCAAGTGTCTGGTTTGTCTCTAACCCTGCTACTGTAGAGGAGAGTTTGTTGGATACTCTGCCGGCGATGCACTTTTCAGGTGCCCAGGTAGTTTCCCTGCACTCCTGGCCTGCCATTCTCTCTTACGACACACTTTAAATTTTTATTTTGTGGTATTTTAGATTGTGGAAGTGGTTATTTTACTACTGTCTCCTTTCTATATGGAAAAAGTCTGCTTTTTCTCATCTGGTTTTACACTAGAGCAGGAGGTCGGTATCCCAAACTATTGAAAGAGCTATATAGGAACAAAAAAACAAACAAAAGATAAATCTACCTGTAGCTGCAAAAATGTAAAAGCCTTATATAAGCGACGTATGCAAACATGGGCTCTAGTGTATTAGCCAGCTATAAAAAAAGGACTATGTGGGCTTAAATATATAAAAAGCATTCATGATTAAATGTTTATCTTGGAGCAAATGTCACATCATGACTAATCTGCTGTGCGATATTTGGTGCTTTAAGTTTAAATTCAATTACAATATTAATGCATTAGGTTTTGTTGCATTGATGAAATTATAGAAACACAAAAAATAAATCAGATCATTGGTGTTTGTTGTTTTTTATTTCAAGGATTTGGGGGGAAAAACTGGAAGAAAGTTCACATACCTGCTTAAGAGCACAAGCTGTTTGATCTGTGAACGGTTTTCCATGCTTGCAATAAAACTAAAAGCTGTAGTGGAGTTTGGAGATGAAGTCCACTTATTTTAAATCTGTCTTTGCGCTACTGTAATTTATCCAGAAGTTCTGCATGAGGCTCTGGAGCCACAGGTTGCCAACCCCTGTACTAGACCATGTCCAGTCCTGAACTCTTTTTCCACCAAGGTGCAGCCTGTTCATTCTGGAGTTATCCTGAATTGCTCCAGCTGCAGCGGCATTTTAGCTCCTCCAAGAGCACAAAGCAGCAGGGAACATGACGATTTTAAGCCAGATATGTGGCCAGGTTAGAGAGCATGGACAAGTTCAATCTATGTTTACTGCTTACAATTATCACAAAACAGCTGAACAGCTCTGGTCCCAGTTTGAAAATAATCCTAACGAAGAACTGTCAGTAGAGGGATCTATTTGCAGCAGGGATTATTTTTCTCTGTCTATCAATTGAAACATAGCCATAAATGGAGCGCTTTTATGTTTTATTTTCTTTTACTTTTGTTTGAAACACTTTAAATTAGACTACGAGGTGCAGTATAAATGTTGTTTGATATCATAATTTTTTTTAATTATTCATCATATTTGCTCCATCTCAAACCGCCACAAAAAAACACACAATCTGCTCATTTTAATGGGCGGAACCAAATAAGTTTGAACGGCCTAACATTTGTTAATCACACACATGGTTATAAAGTGTTAACAGCTACTGGGTGAAAGGATCTGTGATGTATCTCCTTTTTGCACCTAGGATTCATCAGTCTTTCATGAAGGAGTTTAATCCAGTTCTGCAGCAATTTATGCACGGAGTGAGAGGTATTTTCTAGCATGAATGTTACTTTCCAAGGTTCTTCTGCCTCCCATCATGTGTACTAGGTCGAGGTGGGACCTTAATGGAGGTTATTTTCTGCACATCTGTAGAAGCTGAAGTTCTAAAAAGGAAACAGGTTTAACATTGTAGTCTGGTTGCCAGTCAGCAATGTCTGGAGGTTATTTTACTGGACAGTGGATGAGTTAGTTTTAAGTACAGGCAATATTTGGAGTCACAGGCAATATTAACTTGCAGGGAAGCCTATGAGCTACAAGGAAAATAGATGCTACTGTCATGAGCTGCAGAGTCCTCAAGCCCTCGATCTTCCTAATGAGTTTTATTAAGATGACACTTTTTAATTAGAAATCCTTTATGCTCCCAAACAAAGAGGTAAAGAAGATGATAGTCTGGAAGGTTTCCCCTGCTTTACTCGCAGGCTAAACATTGTTTCCTTATGCATTTTAAATAAGTTTTTTTTTTTATTATTATAACAATTGCACAAGAGAGAGTAGAGTATCATTGGTAACATTGTTTAGAGTACAACAGCAACACCTTTTAGTTATAATATACGTTAACATATAGGGAATTAAACAGATTTTTTTCCCCCATTACACAAACCTTGTAAGCGACTGCCTGTCTCTACCTCTCTACACCCACCTCTTTGAATGACGCAACAGTCGGAAGAGACAAAAGATCACTCATTTACCTAGTGACCAACTGAGTGTATCATAACTGAATGGACCTCATAAACCTAGCCAAGCCGTGGGTAGATGAGGCACAGTCATCTAGCATTTTTGTTAGCACTTCATCAGAGCAGATTCTAAACATCAAACTAGCCAATCCTCTCTAAAATAGTGTGATTGAGCTAAATTTGGTTCTATAACATTGAATACAGTAAGCATGTTTTTTAATACATGAAAATATAAACAATATAACTATGTTGTTTTGACAGGAAAATGTTGCCATTAAAATCATCAACTATGCTTTATTTTATAATTATCAATTTGTATAAAATGTTTAATCCGGTTTGTTGCAACCACTGCCAGCACCCAACCCAAGGTTCCTCTGCCATAGTATACATTAATGATTGTATAACACAGTATTGGCAAGATATGTTTAATGCAAATATTGGCTCTCCCCACCATACCAGCAAAAATTGCATCATTCAAAAGATAACTATAAACTGAGTATATCTATTACACTGACTAAAATGAAATACAGATTATGTTTTTTTACCATCTAGGGTTGTCAGTCACTAAAACCTTTAAACAAAGTGAACAACAAGAAGCATGTGAAACATGAGGCGATAATTAGTTTTAATGCATTGGCTTTAAATTGATCAGTTTTGTAGTTCCCTTTTTAACTTTATGTATATTTAACATTCTTTAAATGTGACGAAAGCTTCATTGCTAATTTTAAGAAACTTCTATTTACTTTAATAGCATTTTATTATTCAAAACAGTGTTTTAATGAGTGTGCCTTTTTAAAGACTCTGTTGTTGATATTAATAACACATCATTCAATACTTAAGTTTTCAAATCTTTCAAAAAAAAATTTAAAAAAACACCATGGCACAAACAGTACCACCGGATTTAGGCAATATTCGGTGGGAAAAACACTAAGACTAATTTCCATTTACACCCAACAGTGATCCGTGATTAGGTTTTCAATGTGATCTCAGTGTACAGCACTAATTAAATCAACTGAAATGTTGTAATTTCCATGCCAGCACAGAACGCCATGCTTTTTGAAACTCTTCAATATGTGCACGCATACAAACACTTGCTGCTTAAAAAGGCATCCTAGCTAAACAAACTTTCAGAATGACAGGAACTCATGGTCTATAAAGTTATAATCCAAATTAGCGTGTATTTGAACATACAAGTATGTTTACATCTTTTCTCCAAGTTACTTCTAATTGTAAAATAAGCACTGTGGTGTTTAACTGCGCAGCATCAGTGAAGCTGTGTGCACGCCCATTAATTCCTACTGAGTCAAACTGTGCATGTACCAGACCTTCCCAGTCAGGCATATTCGCCTTAATTCTGCAGATGACAACAAGAAACTGAAAATGTTTCCATTCCTCCACTCTGGCACTTATTTGTAAATTATCACGTTGTCATAGATATGACACTCAACTGTAGTTTGCACAAAGAGAGTACCACAACATTCTCCATACAAACCAAAACAAAATATGAATATTAACTCAATTATGATATTTCTTTAAGAAACACAGTAAATGAAGGAGATTTTAAGGAACATAAAGTCCTGTGATATCTGAAGTATGTGTACAGCTTTAAATTCATTACTGTGACAAGTTTGTCTATAGAGGAGAGGTATTTTCCCAGTGTCCTGCTACATCATTACCATGAAATGTTACTTTTCCGTAGTGTCACCATCTAATTTTGTTGTTTTATGTTTTTATAATGAGGTTCAATTTACTCTTTTTAATGTTTAAATTCCAATAATATCCCCCCCCCCCAAATAATCTGATAATTACCAGCTTAAATAATCAGACTGTGAAAGATTGCTTGAGTTTTATTTTTCAGTTTTTACCATGCACAAGTTAGTGAATTATCTGCATAGTGTTGTGTGAAATATAACAATGTTAGTGGGGTGTTGCTCTTATTTTTGAGTCACCAATACTTTCTGTAGCAGTTGTGCAAACAAAAGGTTCACGAGGTATGTAAGAGTTATTATGCTCATTAGGGGTGTGGGAAATAATCGTTTTGGCGATATATCGTGATATTCGGCCGCCCAATATAATATCGATCTTTCACTTCTTAGTATCGATTTAAAAAAAAAATGGTTACATAAAACATTGATGGGAAAATGGGCTCTCTCTCTGCACCACCACTCTGGCAGAAAGCGCTGTGGAGCCCTTTAACTGTGCGTGCAGCTCCAAATCTGTATTTGAGGCAGTCACAGTGGAAGAAAACCCCAAACAACATGGATAATAATACCTAATCAAAATTTTCTGGTGAAAATATACAGCACTTGCTGTTTTATCTCATCATTTGATTTTGATAGCTGGGGAAAATATGGCAATATATAGTGATACTGCAATATTGTGATAATATCGTATCGTGACCCAAGTATCGCGACATGTATCGAATCGCAACACTCATGCCAATACTTACCTCTAATGCTCATGTGGTGCAATTCTGTAGTGTCGAGTAGATATGGAAGGGTGAGGCATATTTTTCAATTCCAGTTTTTTCATTCATTATCCATGAAACAAAAGGCTGATCATATTGTGAGGAAAGTAGAGGAAACTCTTTGGTTTGACTTACATTGCCGCATAGGACAGCTGCTCTTTGGTGAGATTTAGGGGGTGATTAGAGACAGAGATGCCATGATGGCGTGGGTCCTCTCCCATGGGCAGATTTCCTCTCAGAATGCCGTTGTTGGCCACACTCAGAAAGGACACTATGCCGTGCCATGCTTGATTATAGAACCACACCTACAATAAAAGAAACAGCACTGGTGAATAGGTTACTTTAGATCTAGTGTCAACTTTATTTATATAATAAGTATACAATATATTTAATTGGGTATAAAAATGTAATGACAGAGAAAACTAATTTCTCTTGGCCACTTTTTAAAATTGAAAATAAAAGCTAATGGTATTTAAGCAAGGCAAATGTGGGTTCATTGTTTTGTCTCAGAAAATGGTATTACACCACAGCTACTCACGTTTTCACAGCCTAAAACTGATGGAACTGTGACAAAAAACATTTGTTTGTCCCATAAAAGGTGTAGAGTATGGTAACACAAGTTAAAAAGAAGAAAAAAAAACTCTTACAATTTCACTGTTAAGAGAACTGTCTCCATAACAACCATTAAACACTCTAAATATGCAAACCTGTTGTTAGGGAGAGATGCCAGGAACAAACCTTTTCACACAGCATTATAAAGTAATTACTAGTTTGCCCAGTGTGAGGCCAAAACTAAATTTTTATAGAGCTTTAGATTTTGTTAAAAGCTGTATTTTTATTTTCCATGATGGATTATTTCCCAAGTGTATGATAAAAGATTATATAGAATAGAAATGTTCATGCTTTGGTAATACTACAGCAATTAAAGCCAAACTTAAGGGGCTTATATTTTAGAAAAGAAAGTCCAAATTTTAGGAGCTTATAAGTTGGTTATAAAGATATTCCTTCATCAAAATCATTGATCACCTAATATGCAAAGTCTCAGCAACTGTTCTGCATTTTGCTAGTTTCTTTGAAGACGCAAAAAAAAAAAAATAATAGCTCTCCTTTTATGACAACATGTCTCACAACTTATTATTGGGGTGAAAGATCATACAAATCCTGCTTCCTTCACTCTTTATATACAGCTAACGTATCATTTGAAGCAAACATGTCTATAATAAGAAAAAAAAAACTCTTTACAGCTTCTTTGCCATCTGTTCTAAAGACTTTAACCAGGTCCACACATTACTGCTTGAGTACAACTTATAATTTAGAGTTATATGTTCCATAAAAGTGAACTTGTCAGTAGTTTTACAGACTGGCTGAACAGTTGGTTATTTTTAGAGATATGGGGGGTTGGTGGCATTGAAGTAGAGTGAAATCATAGTCATGTTCAAGACTAATTTGAGATATGATCTTTGTGACAAGGGCATTATTTTTGTTCGAGTAGCCATCAGAAGGGTGGCCACAAAGAAATGGACATGGAAAGGAAATATATTCAGATGTGGTGTAATGTTTGATCATCTTTATTATAAAGAGGGACACAGACAGGTCTCCTTCACATCATTATACTGACACTCTTGATATGATGCAGGATGCAGATTCTGATTTAACTATCAAAACAGTTGATTCTGAGATCAATACTTTACATCAGGTAACATTCATCCAGTCATTTTCCATTTTGTTTGACTGTGTGAACTTCAGTTTATGATTGGCTGACAGGAGATACATGCTGTTCAGTCTTCTGCTGCTGTCTTTTTAAAGGTTCTCCTTATTCAGTTCTGGTGTTCTGTGTAGTCGGTTTGTAACAAGCTCTGGCTGCAGTTATCAATCTTGATTCTTTGATTTCTTTTGTCTATGCAAGTTGCATTAACTGGATCTTTTTCTGAGCATTCTCTCTAAAGCACAAAATTCTCCATGTGAATAATTACAGTTGATCAGCAGTTTTTTGAAATACTCAAACCAGCCCCTTTGGAACAAACAACCATGCAGCCTTTAAAAGGGACTTCAAACCCCTTTTTCCTCATACTAATGAGCACTTGACTTTAACAGCTTCAAATTCAGTAAGTTATCTTCATCAAGGCCACAAACATAAGCAGATGCTGTAATGATATTGGCCTCTATGTATTGGAACAGCTATACCTAAATGTACCTTCCTATTATGGCTTGAAAAAGCAGATCAAAGAGATTAAGGGCTTTGATGAAAAAAGAAAGATACTTGGTGTAGTGGAGGATGTTCTGCTTCCGGGTGGATCATCAAAATAAAGTCCTGCGAATTTTCGATTATTCTGGTCATATGTCTTCATAAGGCCTTCCTATGTGCTCGTTCCCATTTTCACTTGTGAGTCTGACAAGGTGGAAAAATTGCAAATCTTCTTTTGGAAAGTAAGTTTGTATGAGCGATGCAAACAGCAACTTTTAAACAGAAAGTGCACGAGGAGATATGGGCTCATGCACGCTCTCGCACTCGTTTAAAGGGCCTTCCCTCTCAGGAGCGGGTACAGGGTTGTACATGTGCATTTAGTTTTAAAAGTGGAGAGGGCGGGTCTTTTAAAAAAATTAGCGAAAATCCTCTACTGTACCTTATTGATGCACACTTGTCTGCACTGCAAAAACCATCAAAAATTTTGTAAAATTGTATTTAAAGTGTATTTACCCTTAATTGGAGTAGGTAAATTAAATAATACCGTGTTAAACCCAAAGGGAAATTAAGTGTTGCAGTAATTCATTAGTTATTTTTAAGCATATGTGGTAGCTGTTGATAGCTGTGGGCAGGAAGGATCTACGTATCGGTCTGTCTTGCAACGGATCTGAAAAAGCCTCTTACTGTAGACACTTTGTTGTTGTTTAAATAAGATAATCTGCCATAATTTTTACCCTTAAAATAAGATAATTAGATATATGCACTTGAAAAGACTGAAGCTTTTTTGTCTTATTTTGAAAGGAAAATCTCTTATTTTATTAGTAAAATTAACTCATCTGCTCAGTTAAAGAAAAAATGCATTTACTGTATATTAAGAAAAAAGCGACTTTCTTAGATTTTTATATTTGCAGTGTGATGTGTGCTGCAGTCCACGGGTAAGCCAAATTTGTTCCAAAGAAAGAAGTTCAAATGATTTTTGAGCTTGTTGGTGGAAGCATTGACCGTCAGAAATAAGCTCTTACATTTAAAAACATAACTTTTTATAAATTGGGTATAAGGCTTCTCACATCAGCAAAATCCTGATGCGACAGAGAGCACAAGCCGTGCAGCTGAAACATTTTTAACACATTCTTTTTCATGTAAGTGATTCTCTGAGCCTTTGGTTGCTGGGGAGCTCAAAAAAAAAAAAAAAAAAGGATGAAAGAAAATGGGTGTTAGAGAAGACTCCCCGCTGGTAGTTCAGCGATAATTAAGAGTGGATGGTGTCTGAGTGCTAGCCTAACATAACGCTCCATCACAAAGGAGCATGTGGAGAAATTAGCACACACAGATACACATGTGTGTATGCAGTCTGGACGTATCTTAAGAAAAAAATACCTGCATTATAGAAGGAGACTTTTCAAAATTAGAGAGCATGAGGCTCATAAGCTAAATACATGGTTTTTGAATAATAAGTGGAAAAATCTGTGAAGAATTTCAAGTTTTTAGAGTAATTAAAGAGTTTTAAGGCTTTCAATGAAGGAAAGAAATTGCCAGTAAGACTAGCGTTTGATGTTTGAAGAGGGGATTCAACAAAAATTTAACATTGAAAAACCAAATTAATAATGGTGAATGCTTCCCTACTTTTTTAGTTCAATTCTAAATAATTTTATGGTTAAGGATGATAAAAAAAAAATAAAAGAGAGTGATTTTAAAACAAATTACAGTGAGGTTTGTTAATTATTTTAGACCATTTTGTATCAATTACTGTTCCTTTTATGAAATTTAATCTTTAAGAATCTAGGTGGGCCTTCTGATCAAGCAAATCATTTAATACAATTTTTTACTAAATAATGTTTTACTTGCCTCCTTGGATTTGCATTGTGAATTAGTTTGAATATTTTCCAATTGCTCTAAATGAGTTAAAAGCTAGTTTGATAACTCTTCAAATTACATGCTGAACTATGATATCATTGCAGAATTTGTTTAGGTTTCAGCCATTTTTCATTCCTTTTTCTTTGTGTACATAGAGTACTTGAGTTCATTTTCCCTATTTTATCAAATCTTTGAAATTACATATTTTAGCCTTTTAGATTTTGAATGGAAATTATAGTGAATTTATTTCACAAGTGTGCAGAGGGATTTGAGATTATTTCACCTTTTCCTTTGTTGTCCTTACACACAGCCAGCTGGCCAAGTCTTCACAGAATAATACATGAGATTATGAAAGTTATTTGCTTATATTAAATATTTGTCGACCCCACTGGGGTGGGCATTATAATAATAAGTTATTGCATAGGACATCTATGTCAAAGTGGCAGAGCCCTGAATTTTCAGATCGCCGTCGCTGCTAACTTAGCTTCTTTGTTGCTCTTCCTTGCAACTTGTTTCTGCAATACGAGTAGTGAACAATCCACAACTTTTTTTTGGTATTGGAGAATTTGTTGAGGAAATGTGTAAGCACCTAGCAGACAATGAGTGATGTCAGCCCCCTCCTTCCTCCAAATACTGACAGGCGGTCGGACTTGGGAGCAAACCGTTTCTACAGTCAGAGAGAGAAGAGCGGTTGTCCTCTAGTTTCACATTGAAAATGAGTCAAGGCCAGGCCTCCAGGCTCCAGTGTGAGGTCCTAGCTCTTCTGTTAAGGGCAGTGTCCAGAGAGGCGCTGGCATTGCCATTAAAACCCCTGACAACACAGCTTCTGGGATCATCCAAGCACTTAAACCCCTACACCACATTAATGTGGATGTTCAAGGAGGAGCTAATCCCTTTGCATACATAAAAAGTATAAATGAAGAACTTGTATACATATAAAAATGCTCATAGTTTTCACTGTTTTATGCTGACAGTGCAGAGTAGACAGCATACTTTGGATGCTGTTTGTTCTGGAGATTTGTTCTGAAGTTCTACCAATTAACGACCCAATCTCCATCAACATCTACTTTTTGTAAACATTTTCTTTATATTATTATGTCAATGTATCAATTCCTTGTACATGTGGAACGACCTCAACAAATAAGATAATTAAAAAAAAGAAAATTCTGTTTGTGCTGTACATAACTGACATTAGATTTGCCTGATTTTAATTGTAATGCTATTAAGATAATCATTTTGGTAGTTATTGAAAATGAATCATGCAGTTATAAAGCAAAATCTCTGGTCAGATGTTGGATGATTGGAAATTTATTTCAGATAATTTTCTGAACTTTTAATACTTAAGGATTTATTTATAGCTGGTTATTACTGGAAGTTATACCAAATTCTGTGGCTTTAAATTCCAGGTCTTTCGAAAGGAAATACGGATAATATAAAACTGTTCAAGGATTAGTCCAAGTCTTTTCAATCTCTAACAGTTTTTATTCAATTATAGCAATGTTTTGTGACAACTTTGGTACAATGGGAAGAGTAATTATTCTGCAGTCGATGTGGAACCATGCAAAGCAATAGGCTAGTTCCTATCTGTCTATATATGGGTGTATACTGTAAATTTGTGCAATATTAGCTGGGGGAATTTTGGCTCTAGAGTAAAGCATTTGAGTGACAAGTAGGACCGAAAAAGTGTTACAAACATTTAGCTAATTTACCTTTAATTTAGCACCAGTCACGTTGCAATTAACTTTTACCAGCATCTTTCCTCTTCCTGAAAAACCATCCTTGCAGCATAGTGCTGCGACTATTGTATTTTTGCAAGGATCCATCTGTCTTTGTCTTTCTTTCTGGCATATTTAACAGAATAAGAGTATTCAGAAGAGGGGATAATTCCAGTGAGAGAAAAGTTAGCTGTTCATAGTAGGAATCCAAGATTGTTTTCCAATCAAATCATATTCACACATTTTAAACAGGGCTCTTTCAAGTTTTCTGCAGTTTTCATGTCCACTGACTTCTAAAGGACCTCAGCAACATTATAATAATTGTTTCTGCTCACATTGTTTTGTGTATCATCATTTGAGCGAATTTGCTTTATTTATTTTCCTATAAATATAACATTGCAATTTATGATGAGATAATATAATAAGTAAAATTAACATTAGGACCTAGCTGTGTATGTGCTCTATTTCCTTTTAATCACTACCACTTCCATAAACAAACCCCAAACTGTACTCTTCTAATTTCACCTCTGTTACCATCACACCTCCATCCTCTTTAATTTGCTGCAACAGTCATGGTGTATTAGTACGATACCTTGACATTGTCCCTGGTTCCCATCTTCTTTAGCAACATCTCGGCTCTCTGCAGGGTCTGATCAGTGACATTATCCTAATAAAGACAGAGGAGAAAACAAGAGAAAAACAATCTTGAGTTGGGGACTTAATTGGATACCCTTGGAAAGGCACCACTGCTCTTTGAAATGCAAAGTGTGAAACAGAGGCAGACAAGAATTAAGACTTCTGCAGAGCATTAGGGAGGAATGTGCCACTTATTTAACTGAGACTTCATTGGAAATAAAATATGCCAACCATTTCTGACTGTTATCTTCTTTTTTTAAATTTTTGACATTATATTTGTCAAAGTGAAATAATTCAAATGTGTTGGAACACAGTTTCCAGTAAATGTAGCACATACATTGAACCTTTTTATCACAAACATTTTCTATTTACTACCACAAATCTGAATGCATTTAATTGAGATTTAACACAATCGTTAAAGACGTTCTAAAGTAAAAAGGTAAAGTAGTTGTTCATTTAAAAAGTGTGAAGTGCATTTCGTGCTTAGCCCCTTTTTATATAATCGATCGATTTCTCTAATGTAACCGATTACACCCAAAAGTCAGTTAAATTAGAACAATCAATGCTGGGTGTGTAGAACATTCTCTGCATAAATCCAGATAAGAACATTATGGAGATAACCCCTGGAATTTGTGAAATAACACTGAGAAAGAAAAATGAATCTCCAGCAGAACAATATCAGACGTGTGGTCAGGAATTAAGAAGATTACAGGCTGTACGCAGAAGGAGTATACAACAGAAGAAAGTATGGAAGGAGCCAATGAAATGAAGACATTGTTCAACAGGTTAGGTTCAGGAAGCAGCTCAATCTCCTTCTCTCCTGCCCACAGCCAACTGGACAGTCTAGCCTTGTTTGACCTCAAGCTTCTCTGTCACACCTCAAATGGTTCATCCACCAGCTCTTCCATGGACCCTCCTGCTTCTATGAGTTTGTTCTCAGCCAAATAAGAAGGTGGTGCCGCTCCCTCTGCTTTTCACCTGACTGTTAAGTGAAGTGAAGAGGCAACTAAGGATATCGAGTCACAATAGGTCCCCGAGTCCAGATGGTTTTAGTCCCAGAGCCTGTGGGATTCTACAGCACCTCCCCAACCTTAGCCTGAGCCAGCAGACAGTTCCAGTGATGTGGAAGACCTCCTGCCTTTTTGCATTGCCAAACATAACTCAGTTATTAATTATTTCATAGACACCTTAAAAATTACCTCAATAATATCTACAAGGCTTCAACATAAACAGTAATAACTTGCATCCCTAGCAGCCCTACCAGAAAGGAAATAAAGACACCCAGATTTTAGGTGGCACATTTTGTCTCAAGAAGAACTAATATATGGAATGCAAATTAAGCCTTTTTACCATGCATGACATAAATGGGTTTATATTTGCTGAAATTGAACATATAACACATACTTTTGTTAAGTTGCTATCTTAGAAGCCTTGCTGCTCATCAATATAATAAAATTCAGTTGTATTCTGGTAACACTTAACAAGAAGTAAAATTATTTAGATAAAGCCATACTGATGAGTTGGAATGTCCCCGTTAAACCCTGCATATAAATTTCATATTAATAAGAAGATTAAGAAAGAAACAAAAAAGTGAATTTTAAGGGAGCTCCATATTTTGCAGTCTTTTGATTCTGTGTGCACATCTTCTAGAATGCCTGGCAGCTGTACTTGCAGCAAAAATTGCTTCTGCAAAGTACTTACCAGAGGCGGATGAAAACAATTACTAAACACAGTTTTTAGATATTTCTGTCTAGGATTTTTTATTTTCTTTTTTGCACGATTTATTACTGGTAGATTAATTTGTGTCTTTAACTGTAAATGTGTGTGTATGATTGTATTTTAATTCCTTTCGATAGAGTGAAAGGTTAGGTACGATAGGTTTACCCAGCTTTTTGTCCATAGATGAATAGAATCATTATTCTTTTAGATTTGTTTGCTTTAACCGTGTAATTAAAACCCCAAACCCTCCAAAAAAAAAAAAAAAAACATCAATGGAAAATTAACTTCAACAATTACTTTCATAATGCAAATACAGCTGTCAATTTACTTGACATAATCAATTATCCAAAAATAAAAAAAAAAATAAACGAAAAGAAACATATTGCAAAGTGATGAAGATACGCAAATGTTGAAAAGACTTGACAGGTTGCATTAAAAGCAGCTCCTCTCCACTTGCGCATTATGTGAAATGAGCCTTGAGATGAGGGCTTGAGATGACGGGCTTCCGATTTTCTGAAGTGGCATGCTGACACCACACTGTTGAGCTCAGCCGCGAGAGTGCTGAGGACATTACATGTGTGATATAAATGCAAATGGACCTCCTGTTGGACTCTGCCTTCATCAGAAGCGGACGAGAGGAGCAAGAAAAAAAAGAAAAAGGTTGTGAGTCTGAGGAAGCGTATGCAGCATCAGAGAGCTCTGAGGAGGCAAAGTGTCTGTGACAACTGGTGAGGAAGGTGGGAGGTGCAAAAAAATAAGAGGAGAGAAATCAAGAAAGACATCCCGAGAATGCAGGAGTGTGCTCAGGTGCAAATTCCTGTCTTCACTGACACGACGGGAATGGAAAGGAGAGCAACGGACAACAAAGAGACACCTCCAGTCTCTGAGACATTTACAAGGGGCTTATTTTTCTCCATTCTGCAATCGTTCAGTCACAAAAGCCAACAACACATGGTGGCATTCTCAGAAGTGGGATACTTTGTCTGTTCAGGGCACTTCTAGTCCTTTTTTTTTAGCCATTCTTCTTGCATTGCTTGAAAAAAAATGTTTACACATCATTTTAGTAAGGCTGTATGAACTTCTTCTTCTGTATCACTGAGTTAAAAAGGAATGAGGGAAGAGCTCTAAAATCTCTGCAGACAGAAATATTTGTTGAATAACATTCTCTCTGTTCCAAGTCTATTCATGCACAGGGCCGAGAACAAGACTCCTACGCTTGTCTGTGATATATCCCACAGTAAAAACCCAAGGAAATCTTCTTTTTGTGTCTTTTTTTGCATTTTCACTTCACTCCAGCACGAGCCTTGCCAAGCAGGGAATGAAGAAACCTTCAGTTGGGAGAATTCCCGAGGATTAACTGCAAATGAAACAAGATGAAAAGTGGGCCAGTAACTGTCTAATCCTAATCTTTGACAAACTCCTTCCTGCTCAACGACAATGACTGGGCTGTTACCACCCGAAGACCTCCGTCAGTACCAGGGCTCACCTACAACACACCACACCACTGAAGTGTACAATCATTTTGGCCCAATCATCCATTTGGCAATTTCTTTGTGTGTTTAAATGGTTCCTTCATTCTTTACATGGTACTTTCATTTTAAACTACAACCATATACTTTACTTAAAATCTATTATGTGAAATGGTAATAGTTCTAATAGTGTATTTATTATCCTCTCTAATATGCCTACAAAGTATCCAAATTAACGTTCTTCAACTGCAGTCATACAGATGTATTGTCCTGGATTACAAGACCTCTACAATTTCATAGATTTATATTACATTTATTTATATTACCTGATAAAACAGGATCTCTATACGGTGGTATAACTCCTTGCCTTCAGTGTGGGATACTCTGGAGTAAGTCCTAATTAATTCGTAAAAGTAATTTAAAGTTAAAAACTTCATGAAAAACAGGTGTGATTTTTCCCTTATGTGTTAAAAAAATTTTTCATCCTGGCAGCATATCTTATCAATAAAACTGGGGAGTTCTGTATTGAAAAATGAAAAACAGTAGTTTAACTCTTCCTAATTCATGTTACTTATAAAATGGAAGAATCCCTCCATCATGTAATCCATTTTATGTGGCTTTCAGAGATGGGAAGTAACGAAGTACAAATACTTCGTTACTGTACTCAAGTAGATTTTTCTGATATTTTTACTTTACTACTTATTGTTATGGCGACTTTTTACTTCTACTCCTTACATTTTTACACAAATATCTGTACTTTCTACTCCTTACATTTTTAAAAATTGGCTCGTTACTTTAGTTTTGAATCATTTCAATGGAGTTACAGTTATTATTTTTCACGTCATAAATACCAAATTCAATCTAATTGGATGGGAATCTACGTTGCATTTGACGCATCACTACAAGATGAATCGACAGATTCGGCAGTATTCATTTGCGGCAAATCATTGCAGCTTGGTGGCGGTGGCGTTAGCATAGTAGCATGGACGACGAGATGATTGAAAATGAACACAACGGGGATCTAGTCCGAATGGCAGACATCCATTTAAAATGTAGGCAACGGCATGAAAAAAGTGGTTTCTACTTTTACTTTTATACTTTAAGTAAATTTACAAGCCTGTACTTTGTTACTTTTACTTGAGTAAAGAAGTTTAATCAGTACTTCCACTTTTACCAGAGTATTTTTTAACACAAGTATCTGTACTTTTACTCAAGTACGGAAAGTGAGTACTTTTGCCATCTCTGGTGGCCGGTTATGAGGATGTTTTCATTCTGATGGAAAGTACACTTCTGATGGTGCAGCAAATATGCGATTACTTTTCAGCATCTCCTACTGCATAGGAACATACCTTTAGCAGAAAATTGCAGCCAGACATAGATCTGTGCAACATTAAAGGTATGTTTATGTTCTGTGCAGTGCTGACAACTATGCGCTACTACAAAATACTTGAACTGGCATGAGACAATGAAATGAAAAAAAAAATAAAAAATTCAATAAAATTACAATATATGAGTAAAACCTGGAAAGATAAAAGGTGGAAGTTAATCTAAGCATTTTTTGTGGTATCCACTTTGTCTACATTGAATTTCTAAGCATTGAATAGGCCATCAAGTCTTTAAAAGACAAAAACACCTTGCTATCCACTAAATCTATTATTCTGATTTCCAGTTAACAAGATACAGTGAATACTTGAGTATAAATTGGGTAAATTGACAGGAGAGAATATAAGATTGTTCAACAAAATGATTTAGTGAGGAAAATGACCTTCAGTTAAATACAGAAGCATTTTAGGAAACAGTCACAGTCTAACATTATCTAACTATTGTGTGCCTTTTTTTCTGCCTAATTAGGTAATTTTCAGCACTTAGGCTTTCTGCCTCTTACTATTCCAAATACATCCTGCTGTACATAACTCAATTTCTACCTGCTGGAAACAGAAAATGCAATTACACCAAAATTTCAATGCTCATATCCCAGTTGGAACTGATGGCTCAGAGTGGAAGGAACCAGTGCTGCTTCCAGTTACTGTTTCACATCATATACCAACTGAGCAGTTCCAGCAGCAGACGAGAAAGCCAGGCATTTCCCGAGGAAAATGTAGGATTATAATAGCAGGGGCAGCTTTTCTATGAGAGCTAATGCCCGGCCATTAAGGGTTACATCATTTCTGCAGCTGAAATTAAAGTCACTTTAGCACCGGAATACCAGAGACGCAGGGGGGAAAACATGGGCAATGATGATGCTGAGCTGCCTGGAGCCAGAGCAACCTGCTGATCATAGAGTTGTTAGAATGTCCACGATTTCAGATGGTAATGAGTGTGTTTGCTATAGATAGAGTGGAAGACGAAAGAAAAGACAGAAGGATGGGCTTGGCATGGGGTTGCTGATAGATTGTACCCAAGGCCATAAATGATTTAACTCACATACAAAATTATTCATATGAACAAAACTGACAGAGTTTAAGACTATTAATACAAGCAATTAAAACATTTGTATGTAAAATACCTTAAAACTTCGATCATGGCAGTATTTTATTGTTGGGCTTCCTGAATTCCTGATTGATTTAAAATGTTACACAGGTATGGTCAGTTTCCATGGACACTCAAAAATGGATCTGAGAGATATAAACCTTTCCCCTAATTTGTTTTTTTCTTATTGTCCTTTAATTAAGTCAATTCAAAAGACAACAAAAAAGCAGAGTCAGAGCCCCTCAGAGGCAAATAATAAAAAAAGGAAAGCTATCTGTAGAATAAATTAAGAGCTGCATGTTGATCAGTGCTGAGATCTCATTGCTTGTGGGACGTTTTTGAAGATTAAGTTCTTTTTTAAAATTGACATAAATTTTTCTTTTTCATCTATTGCTTAAAATTGCTAAGTCACCAATTATGCCTGCAGCATGAACACCAAAAGTCCCCTTCATGCTAAACATAAGCAATATAAGCCATGTGTTTGTCCTGATAGGCTTGTCCTTTTTGAGCCTGAAATGGATTTTTGCAACAGGCACAATCATCAGACCTAAACACTGTTATGCGCTTTCACCGTTAATGTGCTACTTGTGTTTTAACCATCAATCAATATTTTTTGCTGTTTTTATTCTCTTTTCTTTTCATCTATATACTTGCTGTTAAGTCTTAAATTAAAACAATAACACAACTGCAAGATAAAATACTGGATAGAAAAACTAAACAAAACATGAACTTTAAACAATGTCTTCAGGATAATTATTATTGTTAATTTAAGACCTATTTTAATAAATTATACACTGAACAACCTCCAAAAAAGCTAAATATAAACACATTTGGAATGATTGTAAAACAATGCTCTGAACTATTTCTCATTTCTTGTTTTTTGTCTTTGTTTCTAAATAAAGAAGATATTTTGACAAAATCCTGTTGGTAATCATGGGACATTAGTACTTGCATCTTGAAAATAAAGTATCAGTAAAGTGGCGAAACATCAAAATTTACAAAAATACAACAAAGCAGTTTCTCAGAGGCGTATCTTAGGGGTGGACATGTCTAAATACATGCATATAATACAAGTAAAAAAAAAAAAGGTCAGGATTGAAGGAAAACTGTGGAATTGTTGCTGTCTGGCATATTGTTTCAAACATAGGTGGCATAAATGCACAGAACCCAACACTATAGACAGTTTGGCACGATTAGTGCAAACATTTATGACATACCTGAGTTGAGTTAAACAGGCCTTTTAAGTCCCTGAAGACGTCCTCAATTTCTGCTTCCGTTAGACGCACTTGGGAATTGACTGCTCCCACAGAAATTCCTCCATACCTAAAATTGCAGAAACAAAACAATGAAATTCCTTGTATATTTTTGACAGTTATATTTTAAAAAAATAACAGAAACTTGTCAATAGAGTGGATGAAGCTGCTCAGACAGACTATTTCTTAATATGAAAGCTTCGTCTTACTATATACATATCTTTAAATAAATCTTAAAGGTCATTCATTAAACCCTCTTTTTATACGATCATGAGAGAGTGCAGAAAATGAACATGGAATACAGAGTAGCTAGTGGAAATGCAGACAGCTCTAGAGTCATGATTAAACAGATGTCAAAGTAATTCCTTTCAATTCCATCACTGACAGTTGGCTGAAACTGTTTCCATACAGCAGAGTGACAGGTTAAGGAAAGCAAATCAAAGAGTGGCCCACGAGGATTTGTCAAAACATTTCAACTGCAGGATCCATGGAGGAGGCAAACGACAGGAAAGCAGGCAGGAATTTGGCCATGTTTGTGAAAAAGTATTTTAAAAAATGTGGTGATTCCAAAATATAAAATAATAATTGAATTACCTTTTTCTTCCAGAGTCCTCATAAGTCTTGACTAGGAAGTCTGACATGTTCCGTCCAGTTAAATTCAACAATGTGTCAGTTGTGTTCTGTACTCTCTGTTCAAAACAAAAATAATCCATTAAAAATTGTTAAAGAAGGTTCTTTACTTTTAAAGTGGAACCAAAAAGGCAGAGCAAGCTAGAATAAAATCCATTTTTTTAGGTACTGGTAGTCTAGTTTTAATTGGATTTGAATTTCTGGAAAACAACTGTAAACATCAGTTTTTGACTTTTTTCTGCTCACGCATTTTCAAAATTACCTCTAGTTATAAGGGAGCATAACGATGTAACTTTTCATTTGTTTTACTTATAATCAGGCAGGAGGGGAAACAGATTTGTTTTTTCAGCATTGTCTATTTATGTTAAAAATAGCAACTTCAGCTGCCAGCTGGCTAAGTGAGATCCAATGACTATAAATTCACTGAAGAGTTTGGTCTTATGCAGGATTTTTAGACGGGTCAGGTCATTCATTTCTAAAAGATATTATGTCGTTTCAGTCAGAAGTTAAACACATTCATGGCTTTATTTATTGACATAAACAGGTTCTCTTCCAGGATGGAATAATCAGTACTAGAGTTGAGGGTGGGGTGAGATTGCATCCCCATTCTTAAAAAAAATCTTGAAAATCATCCTCCTTCGTAAATGACCATCCCCCCATATTTTTATTTATTTAACCTTTATTTAACCAGGAAGTCCCTTGAGATTGAAATCTCTTTTTCGAGATATCATCCCCCTGTGACATTTTATTACTGGATGTGCAAAATTTCTACTATATATTGACAGTAATGGCTATAATATTGCCCTTTCAACATTTGGCGGGCTGTGGGCTTACGAATAGCCTTAGCAAAATAAATAAAATCAAAGAAGAGGCCTACCAGGACTATGAAGCTGATCCCAGTGAGCAATTTGTAATTGCATTTATCCCTAACTATGTAGGGCTGTCCCTCAGTTTTTTGAAGATGTTTCAACACCTATCCAGGAGTCTTTATCAATTGTCAGATTGCACCAGAGCAATCAGTAGTTGGAGCGCTGATGTAGTTTAATCTCTCATTCTGAGGTTATATCGAAACCATTGCTTCCTTCGATGTAACCTCTCTCTTCACCTGCATTCCCACGTTAAAGGCAGTAAACACAGTCAGGACACAATTGGAACATGATGAAACCCTGAAGGACAGCACCACTTTAACACCTAACTGATACTGGATAGGTGTTGAAACCAAAAAAAACTAAGCGAAAGTCCGATTGCCTTCCAATTTAAGGCTGTTTGTGGTTGCCATGACCTTGATGACATTATTTACACAGACATGTTATGACATAAAAATGAAAGGATATCTGACTGTAAGAAGCAAAAGCACAGGTTAATGTGAGCTATCAAAATAGGGTCAAAATATTACATATAGTGGCTGATTTGAGGTTAATTTTATGTTTGTATCTGCATCATTGCCACTAGCCTGCCAAAAGGCCCTGAGTATGATACTACAGCATCATACTCAACATGCAACACGAACAGCATTGTTTTAAAATGGATCTTAATTCCAAAAACATTTACTTGTCAATTTGGCCAAAAAGCTCAACATTTGTTTCACTTCAATAAAATTTTCTAGGGCTGTAAGAATTAATCAGATTAATTGTGATTAGTCAATTATTGAAATATTTGCCGACTAATTTATTAAACGATTACTCGTTAAATGGATTATAGAGACTCTAAAGCATGCCTTTAGCTGAAAGAGCAACTCATTTAGAGAAGTAATTATACCAAAATTGTGAATTTTTGAAAAGAAGCGCCTCCTCCACTTAAAAAAACAAAAAACAAAAAAAAAAGGATATGCACAACCCTGAACCCGCTCCTGAGAGGGAACTCCTATTAAACGCATACGTGAGCGTGCAAAAGCCCTTTTCTACTTGTGCATGCTCTGTTTAAAAGTCGCTGTTTGCACCACTCATACAAGCTTACTTTCCAAAAGAAGATTTTTCCACTACTCACCACGGGTAAGTGAAAATGGGGACGAGCATGTAGGATGGCTTTATGTAAACGTATCACCAGAATGATTGACAATTAAGAGGATCACTTTTTGTGATGAGCCACCCCAAAAAAGACCTTTAATATAAAAAAAAACTATTTTGTCTGTCAGTATGCTCCATACACAACTCCTCAAGTGAACAAGTTTCACCTTGTTTACTTTTGTAAAAAGTATTTTTTTTTTAATTAGGCAAAAAAAATGATCGACAGATTAATTGATTTCCAAAATAATCATTAGTTTCAGCTCTAAACATTTCTATGCAGGAAGCCCCAGATTTCGGGTATTTAAATGTTATAACATAAGATTCTTTATTTTGTCAATACAAAAGAAATTGGAAAACAAAATGACTCTGGTGTTCTACAAGTTTACGATCAATGTTTGCACATATTGTCGTGACCTCTGACCTGATCGACGATGCATCGTATAAAAGATAATGCTAAGCTGCCTCCATATCTTTTATGTTTTATTTGGAACAAAAATAAGTCACCTTTAGGTTCCCTGCTACATCTTGTGAAAGCCAAACACATCTGTGCTGAATGAATCATTTTTTATGCATTAAAACTCACCCAGATGATGCAAAATCAACAACAGTTAAAAGCAAGAATACTTAACAGGTGGCATGTGTTTACACTGCTGGGAAACATACTCTCACCCCTTATCATAATAGTCAATTAAGCTTGACTATGGGAAGCCCGGCTAAAATTGAGACCCCCGCCAAAACTCAGAAAGCTGTGTCTAATGTCAAAGGACCTTAATTAGATACCCCTCTGTGGATGAATAGGCACATTCAAACATCCAATTAGGAAGGGGTGCGACACTGTGCTATGAATAAACTGTACCTTGTGCAGACTGATCCTCAGTAGATGCACACCAGCTCCCCAGCTGCAGTTGCAAAGCTTATTCAGAGAGGTAACACTAATTACTAAGCAGAGATATCCTTTAAAAAGTGAAGTTTGGACCCCCGACTGTGATGCAATTTACCAACATGCCCCCCTGTTACAAACGGGTTGATCAGTGAGCTATACGTAAAAACAGCATGTTGTTTAATCGGTTACCGCTGTGCCAATTAGCCTTGAATGTATACTCATATTTCTTACTTAGCATATAAAGCTCCATTATAGATTAGACTAGGTTGCTACATTACTATTAAAAAGAGTTAATACTCCTTGAACTTCACATCTTGTCACAATAAAACCATAAAACGTCTGTGCATTTAAGATATTACTGGAACGAAAACTATTTAAGAAGCATTTAAGAACTACGGGAACGGGAAAGAATCACAACCTTGAACTTATATGAAATATTCTTTTTTTTTTATAGATACTGTGTTTTGGAGATCATTAAAAAAAGAAACAAATTTATATCCTAGAAACTTTTATATCACAATTGCTAACTGCAAATAATTCTGTTTAACATATGCATCTTTCCTTTAAGGAAGAACTAAGAAAACTTTTGAAATGAATGCATTTCTGTGTTGTTGTTATTTGGGATTAGGTTGCTGTTTCTTCTCAATATATCTTAACTAGTTTTATTTTGGAACTGCCTCTTCTTAAAAAGAAAATAAACAATTCAGTTAGAAAATAAAGAATCTTTTCTTAATGTCTGTCAAATACAAAATAGCAAATATTTCCACTTAATTCAACCAGTAAAAAATCACATAAAATCACATTGTGGTGAGTTATGTGTTATAGTTAATAATGACTTGGAGAGGAGAAAAGCACTAACTAAGAAAAAAAACAGCTTTAAAGAGGAAGTTAAAGTACGATGGCTGACATGTGAAAACCACTGATCTTTATTTATTCACTTAATTGCTGATAGACCAAAAAAGACTTAAGTCATTTGCCGCCATCTTGGTACTTCCCACTTTCACGGAGTTGCGCTATAAAAATGCCTGTAATGCAATTACCATAATTAATACATGTATATTACATAATCATAAGTAATTTAGCTCTTTTGGCACATCATCAGAAAATGTGAATGCCTAATATTCTTAATATCTGACTAAAGTATTATTATGCTCCATTAAAACACTCATTTTGTTGTGGTGGATTTAAAACATGTTATATCCATTAACTTCATGCTGAATATGACATTTTAATGTGCTTATTTTTTTTACCATAAATTACAGGAATCTACTTATCCTACAGTATGAAACAGCAAGTACTGTATCTGTCATATCCGGCATTAAAGATTTAATTCCATTTTGTTCGGAGGGTCTGGTCCAACACAGTTTGTTTTTTTGTTCATCTCCCTCTTGTGGTCTGGAGCTCTTCTGTTTTGTTGAGCGAGTTTGCTGCTGGTTTTTCCTATTCGCATCATTTTCTTTCTCTGATGCAGAATTTTTTGTTTGCATTTTTTTGTGGATTATAGAGTTTTTTCTCATTTTTATCTGTAATTACAGCATTTTTGTTTGACGCATTTCCGTTGCATTTGATTTGTCTGTGTTTGCACTTTTTGACCACTAGGACTGCCATAAATCGAGCCTATTCTAGTTTCAAATTTGCAACACATTTGACCATTTATTTTCTGAATTTAAAAAGAAGGAAACTAAAGTATAAAATAAAAGCATTGATACCCGTGACTAACCTTAGAGGGAGACCAAAAAATCTATATAGAGAAAAAGGGCTAAGAAAAGATATAAACCCTGTTGGTTCTAGGAAAATGATCCGCTGACAGATATAAACAAAAGCACTAGCCTCTGGTTAAAAAAAAAAGTCCTATTCTGACACTTCTGGACTGAAGTTGGTGGACGGTCATGTAGGTTTTCTATTGTGTGCTGATGAAGGTTCTCAGTCATCCAGGTCATAGTCATTCCGTAAAAATTCAAAAAATATCCACTGGACTTGGTTTTCAAGATTTGAAGACGTTTCGCCACCTCTCCAGGAAGCTTTCTCAATTCAATTGTCTGGATCTGCAGTGAGTTTGAGTCTTATATAGACAACGCCTTGTATCGCTTGGAAACATGCAATGGTAACCGATGAATGGGTCGTTAGTTCCATCGTTAGCCTGTAATATCTGAACCTGTCTATGATTCTA